TACTAAATCATAATCTGATTAACTGTGTTAGTAGCCTGACTTGGATCGAATTTGAGCATACAAATTGCGTTTAAATTTTCATGAATTACCTTTGGAGTTGTGTTTTCATGAAGCCTCCCTCCCACTGGCCTTTTCTTCCTATGAATATGTAAAGCGCCTCAGGCCCTCAGCAATGTCCCCTTTTTTTTTTTTTTTTAAATCATGAAATTAGTTTCAAAGTCATAATTCTTGCTTTCTAACTTTTGGCGATCATGTTTATGATTATCAGGCTGAAAAATGGTTTTGGGGAATATTTATTTCGTGAACTCAGTGCTGTTGCTGGTGCTGTCACAATTACCTGTCTCATGGTTTGCCCTTTATCAAACTAGGAAACTATGGGCATATATGAATATCATATTTCTTTCCTTGGTGTATTTACCTTTCATGAATGATTTTGCATCTGGTATTGTGCATGTGATGTCTTTTTCTCAAATAATGTATAAAGAAGTGCCATCAGGAGCAATTGAAAATGTTATGAAAAGTAGTGCAATATAACTTTGTTGTATTTCGATTCTGTTTTATCACTGGTATTTTCATCGAATTGAAATTAGCTATGAACTAGGAGGACCCTCACAAACACAAGTTGTGCCTGTGTAAAGCAAGCATAGTAGTTGTGGACTACTAGGATTTACAATCAAAATGATCGAGAACCAGGGGATCCAAGTTGTATGTCATCGTTAGAATAACAGTCGTTTAACAACATTGTGTAACTTAAGATCTTATTGACTTCTATCAGAAGTACGTTAAATTTGTGCTCTTTTAGGAGGAATGTTGTGTGCTTGGAAGCTGGGTGAAATACTAGAACTTTTATAGCCGAGATCTCTCTTTCAGTTTCTTGTGCTTTTTTGGAGTAAGACTCGAGTATTTTTTTGACAGGTGGCAAATCTGGTTGGCTTTGTTATTGGACCGGGAGGCATCAACTGGTTGCTTTCTTCTTTCATTCGAAAAGAAGGTACTACGTCAGTATCCTTATCCTTGAATTCCAATGCTGTTATATACAATCCATTACTCATTGGAACTTCCACCTCACAGGACTGCCAGTTCTTGGTGGCTTACTTCTGTCGTTTTACGTGGGAACGAAGGTATGTGTATCTTCAGCATTTAACTTGATATGTAGCCCACATTTTCAAATAAGTAGTATGGATATCTTTTCCCTTTCTTTTTATAATTTTAATATTTGACCGAAATATTTGCAGCTTATGTTCCACATAGCTGAAGCAAAGCAAAGGTCACCTTGAACGGAGACATATGTTGCCTATATTACTTGATCCCAATCTGCAAATTCCATGTTCTCATGATGTGCTAGAAGTTACATCACAGAGTTCTCTGGGTTATGTTATCAAACTGATCTTCATTTTTTTCATGGCAAAACCAAAATCAAAGACAAAGGAAAAAGAACAAGTAAAGCTGATTGGAAATGGATTATGAGTAAATGGTTCGGGATTAAGCATTTTACCTACCAGTTTCGTCTGGCCAGAAAAACGAATATTCTTCATTGCTTTTGAATTTTGATAATTGCATTTTGCTTTCTTTGTTTCGCCAGAATAATGTGTAGTGTTATGTTTGCCTGTTTATTTACTTTCAGATGTCAAGAAAGAAGGAAAGAAAGAAAGAGGAAAAAAGAAACCCATTTAATTGCCCCATTTTGCATTATGACTTGTGAATGCAAGAGAACTTGACAATATGCGGGATTTAAGTATGGTCCTAAAAAGATATAATATTCATATCTCATACTCACCTGCCATTTCTTCTCTTCCTCTCTGTTTTTATCTAAATAATATTTGCTTTACATTATCCTTCAAAATGGCAATAGATTGGATCATAATTATTGAGAGACAGTGAAAGAGTCTCGCTTAAAATATGATTAAATTGAGAATTAATTATCTTTCAGTGAGACAGATAATAAATAATTCTTAGATAAACTGTAAAAGTGGCCTTGGGTTTTTTTGTTTTGTTTTTGGTTATCTCCCCTTCAATGAAAATTGACAAATAGCTTACTTATCCATGTGGTTGGGCTTCACACCCGACCTACAAAGATAGGGTTCGTTATTATATCACTCTGTTGGATAAGAGGGTTGGAGAGTATTTATAGAAAGAAGAGTATTTATCTGGTCAAAAAAGCTCTTTCTTGCCTTCCTAGGTTTCATCCTTTCTTTAGTAGTTTTGCTGATTTATTAATTATCAACATAAAATCATCGTTATCTCAAAATTTATTAAATACTCGTGTGTGGGTGTGTGTCAAATCAATTATAAATTCAAAATCATAATTGTCTCTCAAGTCACTAAAAATTGAGGCAAGGATGGAACAGTGTAGTTTCAAGTTAATGACTCAAATTGTGGGATCATATTTAGGGAGGAAAGTATATTGTAGGCTGCTTCTGGTTTCAACAAATTTAGATTTGTTGAAAATGAGCAAATCCCTTTTTCAAGTAAAAGAACAAAGCTTCATATGCCCATTTCCATAAAAGGAAAAAAAAGGTTAGGAAGAAGTATATTTAAGAATCTAAATCCCCAAAAAAAAAAAGGCATAGCTTTTTCTAAAGATTACTTGAAAGATGATAAACATGGATTTTGTACAATTTTCTGAGTACATAACCTTGTTATGGAATGACAGGGATGTTACTCATTTATTCTCCCAAGGGATGGAGAACCAGAAAATTAGGAAGAGTAGATTTCCATAAAGAGAAAGTTTCCTGTCAACATTGCTCACAAATTTGTTAGTTAGGATGACTCTAATTATGGAGTTCATTTTGGCCATACTATAATTATTGAATAAAAACTATATAGTCGGCAAAAAAGAATCAAAACTGTGTAATACTCTCTCTGGTTTAAAATATAAGCTAAACTTTCTTAAAAGGGTTTTTTTTTAATAAGATAACATTCACTTTTGTCCAAGCATTTAATGAGGTTTTTTCAATTTTACCCCCATATATTCTCTCTCCTCTTTAATTCATTTATTATATCTTTTATTTATTCTCTTTGTTAATAAAGGTATATTAGGAAAAACAAATATATGACTTACATATTTATTGTTTTAAATTGATTTAATTAGTTTTTTAATAAATGCAATGGATAAAGTTTAGCTTATATTTTGAACTAGAGGAAATACTAATTTATCAAACTATGATTGCTGTCCAATGTCTATCATTTAAATAATATTACGATTATAAGAAATACTTTTTTGGTCCCTCATTATAATGAAAACTTTATGTAAGTAAAGAATCCCGTTAAATTTAATTAAAATTTTAAAATCTATTATATATTAGAAAGTTGTTTTGTTAGTTAAAACGTATCCATCAAAACAAAGAACATTTAAATACAATGTTAAGATTTTAGACAAATGGTCTTATATTAAAGATCGTGAAAAAACGATCTAATGATAAAGACATGAGAGAGTATTTTATAATCAAGGTTTCTCTCCCCTTGAAGTTGAAATTAATATGCTAGACTTTTGACAAATTAAGAATAAGAAGGACTTCTGGTGGAAACAGTCTAGAGCATGATTTTAAATTATGGTAAAAAGAACTCAATTTTAAGTAAACATTGTGTATTTGTCGAATTAAGGTGAGATTGGAGCATAGTTTATATTTCTTTTGAGTTGGATACTGTACTCTTTCAGGCCAAGAATTGAAATATGAATAATTGAATGTGTTAAATATAAATATTCGTATCCATTTAGCATCTTAATATTAAAATACAACTGTAACTACCTCCAAAAAATTTTATTTCAGCTGGAAATCAACTCGTGTTTCTAATTAAAATATAGATTTTTTTTGGCCAAATAATTAAAATATAGATTGAAATTCAAAAACTTCTCATAAATGCAATTATTTATAAATATCTAGATTATGTAATGACGTGAACTTTATCTTTAACTTCTATTACCATGCGTACTGAGGAAAAACTATGGCTTCTTGAAAAGCAAATCATGGAAATTGTCAATAAACGACAAAGTTTGACAATAACATCTTCATCATTGGCAGTGTCATTTCAAAGGCGAGAGGTATATATGAATCTAGTCATCTTAAATCATGTTCTTGTAGGTCCCCTTGAAATGATATATAAATTAATAGATCTGGATATTTTATCTCATATATATGTATATTCATATTTTTCAGATGGAAAGGATACATATATCTTACTTATGATATCTATGATATTGATATAGACTTCAGTTACTGCCATATCAAAAGAATCTAAATCTAAATTATATAAATAAAAAAAGGGTGAATGAAAAGGAAGTGCTTTTATTTATGAAGACCGTCCTTTATGTCCTTATCCCACCAAATTGGACGCTTTTGTGAAGATAGTATAAGTGAAGGGTGATGAGCAAGATGGAGGAAAATTCCTCATCCAATATTCAACAACTCATGGCTCTCTTCAATGGTTCCTTCTCGGATCAACACCTTAATCTCCCTCTCGGCCCCAACAATATTTATCCACAGGCTCTTCACTCTTCTGTCTCTCCTAATTATGTTCACCAAGATGTAGAAACGTGGCCTATATCAGAAACCTTGCTGGATTCTTCTCCTCCATTTTCTGCAACTTCTTCTGCTGACAAGAACAAGGTTAAGAACGCCTCATATATTAATATATCTATATATATATATAGAGAGAGAGAGAGAGACACACACACACACACACACACATCATATCATCTACTTCTGTTCTTTCTTTCTTCGTGCTTATGTTTTTCACCTATATTTTGTTCCCATTTCTGCAGAGCCTGGTTATGAGCAAAAGGAAGAGAAAAAACAGTGACAGACTAGAATTTGAAGAGAAACCAAAAGACGTCATCCATGTAAGAGCGAAAAGAGGCCAAGCAACTGATAGCCACAGTTTAGCAGAAAGGGTAAACCTTCAAATATTAAAGGAAATCAAGGGATCTATTCCAGAAAATAATACCTTCTTTGTTTTCGCTTTGCTAGGTGAGAAGAGAGAAAATCAACGAGAAGCTAAGATGTTTGCAAGAATTAGTTCCAGGTTGCTACAAGGTAAGTATATACATACACACATAATATTATCAGATGTTCTAAACTATCCTTATCCTATCCTTTTTGGGGTGTGTGTGTGTTTGGGTGGGGGGGGGGGGGAATCTTAGTTCGATATACGACGTAATAAGTTAATAACTCGATCATCATGTCATTTTTGAGAACTTGCAGACAATGGGTATGGCGGTGATGTTAGATGTGATCATAGATTATGTTCAATCTCTGCAACAACAGATTGAGGTGAGAACATATGTCAAAATATTGCTTTTCTGAAGGTAAAGAAGAGAATTTTATCCAAACACACTGAACTATAAGATCTTCCTTTCATTTTCAGTTTCTTTCCATGAAGCTTACAGCAGCAACCATGCATTATGATTTCCACGCTTCTGAGTTCAATGTCACCGAAACCTTCCCGGTATCCTTCATTGCCTATACTATTATAATTATAGTTAAAGTTCAGACCTAAAGTTGTTAATTTATGAGCTTAATTAACTCTCTATGTCGCAGAGGAACGATAATAACAGTACTTGGCAAGCCCAAGAGATGGAGAAGAATATGGGAGAAGAAGGCTATGGAGGGTACTCTTATTTCAATCCAACGTGGCCACTTCATTAATATCTTGTACTTGGACAATCGTACGTGTTATTTGGGATAATGCATATGACTGCCATGTAGGCATATACTGTATCATGGAGAGTCGTTTTTAAGTAGCTTCAATAATTAATGTTTGACTGATAAAATATCAGATGCTACGCGATTTTAGTTTCGAATTGAGTGGTACAAATTTCTTCATGGACTGTGAATATATTGATTTTTTATGTTAGTAGGTTTTTCAGTTGGATGCCTATTGATATATCGATCAGGATCTGTTGATGAATGATGATGGCTCTGAAAAGGACTATTTGCAAAGGGTTATTTGATTGATTTTTTCCCCCCAAAAGAAAAGAGCGAAATACAATTCATTTTAAGTAACATGATATCAAATGTTTGGGTGAATTTTGAATCCATTTTTTCATTTAACAAAAAAAAGCTGAATTGTTGGTCGTAAATTCTTACACTTTAATAACTTTCTTTAAAATAAAAGATCTTTTTAACCCAGTAGATGCTCATGAATCTCTTTTTGCTTTCAAAATTTCTTATTGTATTTATCTTTTTTTGGAATTAACTACATATATATCTATAAATATTGTCTGATACGAGATCGATTGCAATCCCTTTCATATCGCTTACAATTTAATGAAGGCTGGTACACAATAGAAGAGGGGGCTAAGCATGCAAAGCTATCACATTAAATATAAAGGAGTACAACTTCCTAGAAAGAATCATCTACGCATGAATCCCTTTCTCATGCATTACCCTGACAGGGACAACATGTGATTTTGATAAACCTTTGAAAACGATCCCTCTTCCTTCTGTACTGTCGGTGATCATAAGCTTTTAAACCATACACACACAAACACGCTCATTTTTCTTCAATTGAAAGTTACGGAACATTTTATCTTGAAATGTGGGTCATCAAATGTAAGCATGTACGACAGTACGTAGATGACGGAGATTGATGAAGATGTTTCTAGTAATATGAAGATGCATGGGACTCATCGAAATCATATAGAGTCCACTCAATTATTGATTTCCAAAAAAGCTACTTAGATATTGTCAGCTAATTAAAAAAAAAGTCTACTTCTACCAAAAAACAAAAAAGTCTACTTAGATATGATCCATATATATATATATATATATACTTCTTTGATCCTTAATATTAAGATCCATTTAACTAATTTAATCATATTAAGGAAGTTAGGTAAGTTAGTTAATTATAAGAAAGTAATACATTTTTACTAAGACACCATAATCATCTTTCTTAATACCCCTTCTCCCTCTTCTACTTGATTATGGTTGAGGGAGTATTTATAGAGGTAATTTAAAGAAAATTGATAAATATAATAAATGAGTCTTATATTTAGAACCAAAATTAACTTAATAATTGAGTTCTATATTAAAGATCGGAAGAGTATATATTGGTGATGGGGACATCTGAATTACCGGACGAGAGATTGAAACGGTGGGATCGATGAAGCCGAGCTGTGAAAGGGCAAATACAATGCATTAAATAACACACATATATATAGAGGTATGTATGTATATATGTCACAGACAACTTGATTAAAAGGGACACTTCAATTCAGAGTGACCCGTCCGACACAAAAAATTGAAGTAGCTAGAGGATTTTTAAAGCCCTGCCTGACTTGAATATGATTAATTATGATATATATTATATTAGAGTATAATTTTAGCTTTTCGAAGTTTTATTTAATTTAGCTTTTGAGGGACTTCTATCACAGGCCTCACCACTTTTGGTACAATTAGCTCAGGAGAAATAATGCTACGCCAATAAACATATACTACTCCTATTATTAATATAAGACATTATTTGATTTTTATTTTGGTCCTAAATATAAGATCCCAATCTATTTTATTTCTTATATTTATGTATTTTTTTCCAAGATAGTCCTTCTAACAATGGTAGTTTTAACCAATACGCTCGATTAGCAAGGATATTTTAGAAAAGACAATACATATTTATTACAAATAACTAATTTAACTTCTTACATTAATCTCCTCAAATTAGTCAGTTAGCTCTTGTAATTAGGACCGGAAGTAGTATATAACATTTGCTTCATTATTTTATATTGTTATTAGTCGAATATTTGCAAATGAATGTACACTTGTCTCTCTTGTATTGATTCTTGCCCTTCCTTCGATGGTGTTAAAGATTTAAATTCTCATTTCAAATAGATTAATGAACTAAAATTGGAAAACAATAAAAGAGTGTTAAAGAGATCAGAGTATCAACTATGCTAAATGGAAATTACCTTGATGTGGACAAGTTGATGAATTAGAGACGTATGGCGGTGTGATAACAACACGAGAATTGTAGATTGTAGATGGATCAATGGCTTCATGAATAAATTTTGGGATTCTTAACTAGCAAGGAAGGTGAACTCACACGTACGGGATACTACGGGTTTAAAAGAATAATGAGAAAATATAACTTTTAACTCCTAAACCTTTTCTTAAATTATCCATTTAGAATAATTATAACCAGTTAGAATTTAGTAGTTTATTAGGTTAATAAGAAATAGTAGGAGTCGAATTGTTTCAAGTTAAAAAGATTATTCTAAGGGCAAATTAATAACTGAATAGTAATTAAAGACTAAATTTCTATTTTTATTTTTTATCAAAGACAAAGATTGATTAGTTGAAATTAGAGATGTAGGGAATTAAGGTCATGGTTTGCAACAATTCTTTTTTTTTTTTTTATCAAAGACAAAGATCAATGGCTTCAGAATAGGCTCGAGCCTGTAAAAGGACATATTTATCTTATTAGGCCAGGCTCAGGCCTGATAATAAACCTGTTAGGCCTGTCAGGTAACCTAAGCTTGTTATTTTTTTTAGGTTAAAATTGTAAATTTACAAGTGTTAGAAATTTGAAGCACTTATTTGTAGTAGGGATTGGTTTCACAATAAATATGGTTTGAAAAAGAAATCAAAGGTACAAATTTTGAATTCTAAAAATAATACCATTTCTTATATTTATTAGTTATTAAATTTTGTTATAATCAAATATATATTTGATTTTTTCTTCTCAAGTGTTTGAACAAGAAGAAAAAATTGTGTTGAAGATTTAATGCTTTGCTGTTTGATGATTTGTTGTAATTGTAACAAGAACAATTGTGTTAATTTGATTATTTTATATTTTTTGTTTGTATTTTGGATAATTTGGATTAAGTTATTGTAATTTTGAATTGACTCGTGTATGTTTACAATTTGTTAAAAATACACGCTTCTTAACAGGTCAGGCCTAATTACAGGCCAGGTCCAGTCCAAATAAAAGGCCTTTCATAGATCATAGGTTAGGCTCAGGCCAACAGGTCTCACCACAGGCTTGGCCTGTTAAGGGTGAGGCTTAGTTTAACCTGACATGTTTCTACCCCTAATCATTACCTAGATTGTTACATCTTCAATTTTGTTCTCTTTAAAAAAAAAATTAATAAGGAACGGGGGGCATTTCAATATTTTTTTTCCAGGTAAAAAAACATATTTTGTTATATATTATTTATAATGCATCTTAATTAAATGATTCCAACCTATGATTTCTCGAAAAGAAAAAATAATAGCGAAGGAGTTTCAATGAATGTCTTATGTCATAAATTTTCAAAAAAACAAAATATGACCCGCTTCTTTATATATATATATATATATATATATATATAAAGCTAAAAAATCTCTTGCTATACAAAGTATGTAACATTTATTCAATTATATGTAAATATCTTTCTTTTTGTAAATAATTTAAGGTAGTTTAATAACCTGCTCAAAAGTTTAGATCTTGATCTAAAGGAGGCTGTAACTTTAAGCAATAAATTTTGTTACGAGAAATTTGTTAGTAATTTTCCTTACATACTATTTCCGGTCTTTAATATAAAAACTAGCTGACTAATTTGAATAAATTAAGAATATTAGTTAAATTAATTATTTGTAATAAATATGTGTTGTTTTTTCTAAAATATCCTTAATACTAATAAATTGTATTGGCTAGAACTACCATGATTATAATGATTATTTAAAAAAATAGATAAATATAAAAGATAAAATGAATTGAAATTTCATATTTAAAACTAAAATAAAATTTAAAAAAATTTTATATTAAAAATCGGGGAGGTAGTATATTCCAAATAGACTAATAAAGAAAGAAAGATTAAAATCTCAGGCGGTGGCGGTATGGTGGTTGCACCTGCATGGGTTGTAACGCCTAAATCCTACGGAGGGTTGCCCCCATTTTCATTCCCTTCCTCTATTCGAGTTACTACGATGATGCCTTCTCTGATCTTCAATCCTATGTCATTTCATCTCCACCACCCAACACCTTCTGTCCAGATTATCCACCGACCTTTGAAGCCCCCGCCGGCTCTCCGATCAGTTATCCCGGTGAGGAGCTTCGCTTCCGCGCCAGGTTTTGACCTCAAAGCTGGGAAAGGGTAATTGCGATTTCCACTGACATGTGCTATTAATTATTCTCTGTGTCATCAACTTCATTGCTCATGGAGCGGAATTTGAAATTGAAGTTAGGAACTTGGGGCCAAAAAGCTTATAAGGGATGAAATATAAACTTCCTTGCGATGGCAACCGAACTTGTACGGTAGCATTTTATGTTGAAGTCTGGAACTTCAAATTGAAGCTTATCTGTTCCCATTGATGGCCTGCGGCTAAATTTTATTTCACCCTCTTGGCTTGCCGTTCCATATGCAATTTTGCATACAGAGAGGGTTTCTGACGTTTGGTAGAGCGGAATTGGTAGGATTATGTTAATTTCTATCGGTAACCTACTAACCCGGAAATAAAATCATTGTATAATACGCATATACAGGGATAAAGTAATATCTTTTTTGTGAGAAACTTCAGATACTTGGATTTACTTTGGAATATTTGTTCGCACAGTCTTGATTAGAATTATAATAGAAATTTTGAAAATTTAGGGAAGCCTTGGAGCCTCTAGGTGGACACTGGACAGCATTGTAGTCCGTGCATTCATTAACACTGCGTTAGTTCATTAAGTTGACTGAAATGGAATTCAGTCAATCTTTGGATCATTCATAATTTTCTTCTTACAAGTTTGTGGTCATACACGTGCTGTAATATGCCATTCAGGCTCTGCTCATACTGTTGCTTGTAATTTTGCAGAATGGGTGGGTTCTTTGATGTTGAACTTAAAGTCCGTGATTATGAACTGGATCAGTATGGAGTGGTCAACAATGCTGTTTATGCAAGTTATTGCCAACATAGTGAGACTTCATGAGCTTATGTATTTCAGTTGCCGGCACCGTGAACAGTTTCTCTTACTGAATTATTATCTTTGAACATAAGTTATCTCAGGAGATACTTTTTAATTATCTGAATTCTGAGTACTTGTCATAAATGATATATGACAATATTTATATTTGATTCACAACTACACTTGAAATGTAAAACAAATAACATATGTTAATTAATGAAGATTGAAGACCATGTTGCTGTATTTTCTTAATATTTATAGTTCTAGATTCATTGTAAATTATGATGACAGAAACTGTAAGGCTTACTTCCTAGCTTAAATCCGTAAATTGATTGCTTGTCTATCAATTTGCTGCTCAGGTCGTCATGAACTCTTAGAAAGCATTGGTATTAGTGCTGATGCTGTGGCCCGTAGCGGTGATGCATTGGCACTGTCAGAATTGTTACTTAAATTCCTTGCTCCTCTAAGAGTAAGCCTTTAATACCCTGTTTCAACTTCTTGGTCGTTACTTGTTCTGTTGTTGGGTAAATATCTTGTTGATATATGGAAGCACATACAAGCATATGATGGCTTATGCAAGGATGGTTCTATTTACTGATATTTGATTTCATTCTAAGAACGTGCAAACAGAGTGGAGATAAATTTATTGTAAGGGTTAGAATTTCGGGTTCTTCAGCTGCTCGATTGTACTTTGATCATTTCATCTTCAAGCTGCCAAGCCTAGAGGTTAATATCTGTCGCTTATACTGTAATCTTTCTCTCCAACTTCTTTATAGTTTCTCTTAATATTTTCTGAATTTGATGGCAGCCTATTTTGGAAGCCAAGGGTACTGCTGTGTGGCTTGACAAAAATTACCGTCCTGTTCGTATTCCATCAGAGATGAAGTCTAAATTTGTGCAATTTCTTCGTAATAAGGACTCTTAGATTAATTCTGCTTCCAAAAACAATATTAATGACGGCATTTTTATTATGAAAATATTCAGGAAGATAATTAGTGGTATGCATCACTTCGATTCCTCCTGGGGATTGGGAAGAGAATGTGATGGCTGATGGCTCTATGATACAAGTCCAGCAAACCGATCTCAAAAAATATAAAATATCCGAGATGCACAGTACTGATCCAATATATCTGAAGTATTTTACGTGTCGATTGATTGATGTATATCCATGAAGGCCACTGCCAATGGATCCATTGGTATAGAAATTTGAAGAGAACAAAAAATGTGTTTTTCCCTTTTTCTGAATCCTTAAATGCTCATCAGTTGCCGTAGTCTTTTACTTGGGCGGAAGAAATTAGAGGTTTTGAGTGTTGTAGCTGGTCCCTTTACACTGTACCTGGTTTGTTTTGGTGATACTTGAGAACTTCTTCTGGTGGAGAGTAATAGCAAGTTGTTCTGTCATGAGCTCCAAGACGAATGAAGTAGCAGTTTTGGAAATTTAAACTTCCTGATGATCAAACTCAAATGAGGTGCTTTTTAGCTGTTGATTAATGTAGTTCCAAACTGGTTGTAGTGGTTACTTCTTATTCTTACTATCTCCAGTCCTAATTATAAGATCTCATTTGTAGATTATAAACGAGGTCTTATAATTAGAACTGGAAGTAGTATTAAGGCTTTTTTAGTTTATATATATATGAAGTTCATTTACCAAGTAACCGATGTATGATGAATTTTTTCAAAAATCTGGAATTAAAACATATGATTGAAAGAACTTTCTTTCCGTATAATGTTTTATTTAAAACCCATGATCACTTATCCTTTAGATTAGGTGGGTCCCTGTTAAAACTTTGTTATGTAATTATTAATTAAATTTTTTTATTTATTTGGTTTTTTTGGTGAAATGAAAGAATTCGATGTGATCAAATTACATCAGACACACTGGCCCAACAATCAATGCATCAGGCTTTCTAAGTGGCTGTACAACCTTACCCATTAGTGCCGAAAGCAAGACACTGATGCGGGATTTTTGCTTATCATCAGAATATTACGCAATTTATATTATCTTCAATGCATATAATGTAAGTGTGGCCTGGAGGGAACATGGAAAAAAAAACCTCATAGTTGGATTCTTGGATTAGGCATAAAGGACCTGACACCCGAGTTTTCTTGAACAAGGTCGACAAATATGTTAATATGAGAAGAGAATATATGATCCTTAAATAAAATAAAATACTATTAGTTTATTTGATTTATACTGTTTTGATTGGAAAGGATGTGAAAAGCAAAACACAGTGGAGGACCTGTCGACTTTTTAAATACCAAAACTTGAAGGCCAATGCCCAATCAAACTAAATCGATTGAATTGGAACTTGGAAGATGCGGGACACCAAAACCAGCATTACTAATGGTCTTCTTTGCCGCCTTTCAGCCAGCTGAGTTTCTTTGTATAGTTCAGGCGACAGATTTGAATTATTAAATATTATTTGATTAAACCCAAATCCAAAAATCTAAAAGAACCCGAACTTTATGATACGCAGTAACAAAGTCGTGCACGGCATGCATTGAATCAGCAGCGTCACAAGAAAACGAATGACACATCATTCACAGATAAAGAAGTGGGTTGTGAGTTTGACAGTTGGAGAAGAATGGTAGATATGAGAACCTCCACTAGAATTTAGGCCCTGTTTGGTACGTGGTACAATCACAAGCTCATAGACACAGAAAGAGAGATGGAAGAAGGCGGAGGAGAGAAGAAGAAGGTGATGGTGGGAATTGATGAGAGTGAATGTAGCAGATACGCTCTTGAATGGACTCTGCAAAACCTGGCTCATACCCTTGCAGATTCTAAGCTCATCATCTTCTCTGCTCAACCCATTGACGATCTTGGTTATGCTTACGCTTCCTCCCTCGGTGCTGCCCGTACGTTTCTCTTCTTCCACGCTTCTGATTTCTCCTTCAATTAAATATACAAAAAAATTATTATTCAGAAATTTGTCTATAACTATCATTTTTTAGCCTTCTTTCATCTCCTCTCCAACCTACTTTCTTACTTCTGCCTTTGTTTTGCAGCTCCCGAGTTGATACAGTCCTTGCAGGAAAACCGAAAGAAGCTCACTTTGGCTTTGTTGCAGAAAGCTAAGGAAATCTGTGATCAACATGGGGTATGCTTGCCTCCCTTTTTTTTGTTAACAACATCATACAAATTCAGGTTTTTGATCAAACCCGTTGATAAAAGTGATGTCATCACTTCTTAGGCATTATTAAAAACATGGTTGGTTCCCGCTGTTCCAAAAAGCTGATGTGCCTTTGGATTCATATAAGTTTTCTTATGCTTTGGTTCTGATTGTTGTGGATGCTTAGTTTCTGCAAGAATAGTGTTCAATGTATGGATGTCAGGCTGGTTATATTGTGGACAAGGAATGGAATTGTGTTCAAGCTCCTAATTCAATATGGATTTAATAAAGAAGAGCAAAACCATTTGTGTGCAGTGCATATGAGCATAGGATCTCATGTCTTGTTTCTGTAGATTGATGCAGAGACACTCACAGAAACTGGAAATCCTAAAGAAGCAATATGTGAAGCAGTGGAGAAACTGAAAGTCCACTTACTTGTGCTTGGCAGTCATGGCAAGGGATCCCTACAGAGGTTCTCAAATTTCGTTGTTTCATTCGTTTTTGTCAGTCAATCGCATAATATACTACGTTTATAGTAATTTATGCGCAAAAAGAATTTAGAGAAATTCCTGTAACATTCTTCAGGATGCTGGAAAAAACTGATGAGGATATATCATATCTTCAATGGTCATTATATGCTTTTATCTTCTGCTTATGAAGAGTAGAAAATTGACAGAACTCTCAGAAATTCATTCATGCATGAGGCACAGTAATCGCACATGCAAGAAATAATCTCCCAGATAAATTATTATAGTTACTGTGATTCAACTTGTGCCTTTATTCACATCTAGAAAGCTGGTCATTATTCTATGTTGAGATAGAAAATAATGATGATGATATCTTCTTGGAACAGGGCGTTTCTGGGAAGCGTTAGCAACTATTGTGTTCATCATGCCAAGTGTCCTGTTCTCGTCGTAAAGAAAAAAGCTTCATGAAGGAGTGACTACTTCATATATATATACATATATATGTATGAATGTATGTATAAGGGGAAACTGTGCAGACATTGCTTGAGCATATTTTACTTTACCCTAGCGTGAATTATTCTTTCTGATAAACTGTTTGTATGTCCAAGTCAACTTTTGGTTTTTAAGTCAAATGTACGTGTTGCTCTGTTATTTGGCTTCTACTTATATTTCTTAGCCGCAAGAAATACATAATGAAGAATATACTCATCATTATAAACAAAGATAACCCAAGAACAGGTCTGAATTTCCCACTCGTAAAATTCAAACTTCAATCCAAAATTGGCTTGTGAACTTCATATTTTTCTGCTAGTGCCTGCAAGGAGTCTAGTTCTTGTTCACACGGGGCTGTCACACAAAATATGAGTAACTATCTTCGTAAAGCCTATTGCACTGCCCTTGTAGTAAAGAAATCAAAATGATATTTCCTATATCGCCATGCTAGCATGAGATGCCACGTCTCAATTTTGTCATGCTAGTTCGTGTGGGATAGCGTATAACTCTTATTTTCAAGTAATGATGCTTTATAATTCTTTGTTTTCTATAAAATTTGTATCAGCTCAAAGTCAGCTAATCCAAACACAAAAGAAGAAATTAAGTATTTGAGCTTAAAAAGCACGGATATGTGACTCCTATTTTGAAGTATCAATGCGTCATAAGATTTGAGCCTAGGAATATAAGAAATCTGAACATGTTAAGTAAACTGGTTTGCTAATCTTAGGGAATCGAAGACGGACAGTCAAGTTAAGCGCGAGAATAACAGTAGTATAGATGTAGAACATGCATACGTGCACAGGAAACCTGAGCTAGAAATTTTTCATTCCCTAGGGATAGTAGATCTCTTCCACGTTCCGATAGATTACAGCAAAGTTGCTTTTTCAGCTAAAAATACGATTTAGTGTGGCTGCCAAACGAACTCCTCCTTGAGCTAACCTCAGATTTACTGTTGGCAAACGAGATGAGAAGTAATCATCTGCAGAGTTTTAAGATTTCATGGAAGGGTTAAAGAAATAGAAAAGAATGTTATGACAGAAACTTTTAACATTCAAAACCTCTAATGGCTTACCTCCAAGTACTGAGTTTTCAGAGACATCTTTGTATGCCCATTCGCATGCTGCTTTGATGCTTTCTGATGCATATCTTAACAGAGAAACAGATGTCAGGAATTTTCTTCTTGCAGAATTTTCCAGGTAGTAAATAACAATGTATGTCAGATGTTTAACATGTTTATTTGTCTTGTTATAATTTTCTTAGTCCTTTTTTTCAAAGATCAAGTCTAGTTAAACGTACATATTTGGGCATGTGGTCTTGCTATCATCACATGTCTCCCAGTCTCTTACTTGATCAGACCATTCTTTCTGTTCAAGGAAAAAATGCTGGTTAATATCAAACTTTCTTTTTTTATTGTTTGAATGGTGATAACAGCAAAATCCACTGCAAAAATACCGTAATATTCTGCTGAATTGCATCAATAAAGCCATCCATGTTAGAGTCGTAGAATCTTTGCTCTGCTGTCTCTATTATGTTATCGTCCCAAACCTATATATGGTATTCAATTGGTGCAAGGTATTAACTGTAAGTTCATATGAGTAAAACTGCATAACTATAAACTCTATTATTCATCATCACTTGTGTATCTGTTAACGGAAGAATAACTTTTATATATGTACATATATAAATTTCAGAGAAAGTAAATTTGAAAAGACTGTATATATGGTTAATGAACTGACATGATGAAGATTAGTCTTTCTGGTGAACCAGTGAACATCAATTGTATTGCCACCCCTATCTGAAGTAAAGCCCACATGGAGAGGCTGCAAATTAAGCATCATAATCAAATTGCTATTTCAGATATCAGGATATGGCTGATGATTGGTTCAGAGATTGCATTCTGTCGACACACACACACACACACACACATACCTGATGTATATCTCCCATAAAATGAGAAAGGAATAGAAGTGCCTGGGTGAGGTTATCTGATACAATGACATTGTCAATCATATTCCAAACGGAAATTTGGTTAGCCAATAGAGAGAACCAGGCCGGCCCATTAGTATATATGGCCCAGCTTAATGGGCTGATGATATCAATTTGGGCTTGACAAAAGTGTTTAAATTGAAGGCCATTGGTATGATATAAGTGTTTAAATTCACTGTTTAAATCAGCGCTCACATTGTGAATCTGAAACGCTGCCATAGCTGAGGAGCTGGTTGGTGTAATTGTTGATGGCTCCTGCAACACACCTTCCCTTGAGTCCATCCTCATCCTTGCAATCCCCTGAATGGTCAACAGCTGGTAAATACTACACCAGATAATCATCGCATCATACCCTCAAGATCAATCGGCTTTTTCAGGGCAAACTGTCTCATCATACACAAAAATACCAGAAACAAATAAACAGAGCCAATCGCCTTGTAAGCTAATCGCATGAGAGCTCTCTATAAGTGAAAAGTCACGGATTCAATCTTACTTGTAACCTCAAACCATTACTGTGTATCCTTTTAATTAAAAAAAAAAAGGAACAAATAAGCATAGAAAGTACGAAACCAGAAGAAATAGGAGAAGGATCTTACTGTTGTACTGGTAATTGCAAAGGTTGTCAGGAGTATCAATGTAATGCAAGGCAGATGACCAGGGAAAGATGAACTTAACATGATCTGCCCATGAGCAGACACTCCCCAAATCATTTTTTGCATATTTTGGCAGCAGATCCTGCACGGCTTCCGCAGCCGCCTTGTTCAGCCGGGGCTGTTCAAAAGAATCACAGGTAAAGATCACCATATATATACAATCCATAAACACAAGATATATCAAGCAAGTTTCGATTTTGAGACAAGAAACTGAGATAGGGAAAGAGAATTAGGTACCTGAGCGATCTTACAGATAATGGCGTGTCCATCTTCTCCCCAGGCTATGGTGGTGCTTGGAAACAGAAGGACCAGTGAGACTATGGCCACTAAGTGGATTCTGCAAAACTCCATTATCTGTGATTCTCTTGGAAATCAAACAAAGCTCTATATCTCTGTGAGGTTTTATTGGGTAATAATCATTAATGCGAGCAAAGCAAGCAGGGCTAGTGTGAACTGTGTGAACGAGAGAATACCGTCGTTACGCTTTAGAGAGCTGTATATATAACGCTCACCAGCGAATCATGGCAAAGGCTGATATCACAATCTTTTCTTCTCACGTTGAAAACTCCATGTTGACCAGAATGACCCTGATACAACTATGTGTCGCCAGTATTTGCACGCTTCCAGCAATCCAAATAATTTTTTTTTATTGTTTTCATATCTGTTTAAATAAAGCCTACTATGAAAAAATATATTGAACTTTAAAAATGATGTTAGAGAATAAAAATGTTAAATTACAAATGCCTTTCAATACATTAAGTATATAACTCTAAATATATACTGGTAAAAAAATAAATTAGTGTTCTTTTTTAACCAAGTTTTCTCTTTTATTATTAGATGCATGAATCTCTTGTATTCGTTTTTTGCATTTGAATCCGAAATCTGGCTTGAAAAAGACAACAGAACCGTAAAGGCGTAAAAGAAAAGAAATTTGAATATTGAAATGGACTCAGAGGAATAAAGTTAATTGATTCTCAGGAGCATAATTTGAGGGAATCAATGCATTCAATTGGAGTCTTTGAATGCTAGAAATGACTTTGAACTTGAAAATTGAAAAATGCAACTGATGAAAGCCATCTTGCAATGCCAGTTAATGGCTTTTGACCAAAACAAGTAAATATAATCCTTCCTATTAGAAGGATTCTTTTTTCCTAATCACTGTAGTCCCCCTTTGGCACAAAGCATTGAAAATGTGGTGTAGAAATTGGTATTGAGATTGAGAAAATCTATTAAAAAAGTATTTAACATAGAATATTTCTTATTATATGAAATTAGACAAATTAGACAAACTCATATATGTGAGATTAAATAATACCATAGAAGGAGGTGGTATGCCCTAATTTTACTTCAATAGATTTGCCTAATCTCATGTAACAAGTAATTATTTATACTAAATATTTTTTTAATGATTTTTCTCAATTACAATCTTAGTTTCTATCTCTCCTGTTCAATTTCAATACTTTGTACTAAACGGGATTTTTGACTACTGTTTACGGTGCGTACACATCCATAGCCCTTAGTTACACACACTAACACGCATATATACATCAGTATATATTGGAGTCTCTTTTTAAAAAACAAAAGAAAAGTCAAGGAAAGACCGAAGAGAGCACTCTTAAAAAAAAAAAAAAAGTAAGGACACAGTTAATAATTTATTAAAAAAGCTTTTTTTTATAAAGTTAAAATGACATCATACGATTCACTTAGTAGGATAAGACTTATTATAATTTTTATATGTATCAAGATACACATATATAAGCATAGTTAGGCCTGTTTTTATACCTTCCAGTTTTAGTAACTTTATCTTTTTTAAGAATCTAGGGGCAAGATGACTAGTGAAGAGATTATTTACAAATTAAAAATAATTAGTGTCACAAATTATTCTCCTTTGCCTTGCAAAAACTACTCGACAAGGACACCATCGTGAATAAAGCATACGGTACGCATTTTTTCTAGTTGGTGTTTAATAAGAATGAAGTAAAATACTAACCAATCAGGTGAAATTTAAAGTTAAAAATAAAAAACGCGAAGAATGCTCAAGGCATATTCCTAAGTGGATTGATCAAATGCATAAGGAATATTCCTAAATGGATTCACAAAATATTTCTTTTTGAATATGCTAAGACATTAAATTTAGGAGATGTTTGGATAGAAACCAAATTATGATTTTAAAAGTGATTTTATGGCATATGAATTATATATATGAAAGAGTTTATCTCAATTTGTGAAAAAATACTTTTTAGAACATGCTATCCAAACACCCTTTTAATTTCAAAACGAATTGACATCCATAAATTTTTAGAATATAATGAATCACGATTGTTCACAAATAGTAGTTATAAGAAAGAAAAAAAACTAAGTCGACCACGGAGTTCAAAATTAAATCATACTTTAATAGGATAACTAATTTGATTTATAGATTATTGATATTTAACTAAGAGGATAATTATTTTAAAAGAATTTTAAAAATAAGTTTTTCAAAGAATCAAGGAGTCTGGGTGCGATTGAAGTTCAAGCCCAATCCCGTCTCATCTTTCACGCCGTTGTTGAGGCCCAAATAAATTGCTTTGTCTGAATTGGCCCCCTTTCCTAACTTACCTTTAGCCCAAATTCAATTAGTCGAAGGTTTTGGATTTTTTTTCTCCCTATACTTTATAATGCACATGCATAACCCCCTCTGACCTTTAAAACTTTATAGTACACCCCCTAAACTTTAAGTGGTATAAATTATTGATTTGAGGTTATTTACGTTGATTTAAAAATTTAGGGAATTTATATTAATCTTTAAATATTAGAAAAATTATTTGTGCATGTACGTAAATTTAAGAAAGTTTATATAATTAATTTTTTTAAAAAAAATAAAACATGCAACAGAATCAAAAGGATTGGTAGCATAATCGTCATATGCAAACTATAAGTGAGAATTGAAAAGGGCGTCATACTTGGAAGGTGGTTCGAGAATGTCATTTTGGATGGCGATGTTGCGTTACGATTAAGTAATTAATAGACGTAACGATGAACTAAGAAGCAGAAAGCAATAATTACGAGTTGAATCATAAATTGACACTACTGGGTTTGTCCCTAAATCTAAATCTATAAGATTTCTTAGCCATCAAACACGCCATAACAAGGTATTGTCAATATACATTTCCTTTCCTTTTCTGTGCTAATTGCATTGCATGGGCTCTATTATTGCATTGCCTTCTCTGACGGTGGTGTATATATGATGTCCAATCATGGCGCAATTTTGTAAAAACACGCTCATGTGTGTATGCACATATCCAAATCATAGAGTTTTGAAAGTATTGTGTCAAGTGAAAGTAATTTGATTCTCTTTGTGTAAGATTAAGAGCTCAAGTCTTATAAAAAAATATTTAAAAACTCTCTTTCTTTAATTAACCATTATGATACTTAAATTTTTTTGTCATAACTCACACACATTATATTCATAAAAAAGATTTTCATATTCTGTGAGATAACACTTAAATTTGACTCATAGTACTATCATTTAGTTGTATCAAAAATAATATAACAAATCATGACATGACTGAAAAAACTTACTTTTTTTTGTGGCTAATTATAAATATTTTTTTATCGGAAACAATTATATTTAAATAAATTGAATGAAATTTAGACATGAATTCACTATAATGTGAGAAACTAGTCTTTCTTACTATACGTTACTCTTATAGATGACCCTAAAGACCTACTTGATGAATGGAAAAATGATATTCTTCTGATTTTAAATATAAAATCTTTATACATACTAATATAATAATTTTATTTAAAATCGGAATAATACTTTGAATCTGCGGTGGTTAAAATTTACTCCTCTAGTCTTATTTATAAGGCACTTCCAACATGTTTCACACAGACCAAAAAAAACCTTAAACTTCATTAACTCTCATTTAAAATTTAATGACTTTCCAACTTTATCCCTATTTAATATATTATACCTCATATAAACTAAGTCAACACAATAATAAATGAAAGGTAAAATTATACATTCATGCAAAAAAATTCTCTCAATGCCTTATAAATAAGACTAAAAAATACATTCTCTCTGTCCTATAAATAGTACAAGAGCAGTATTGAGGCTAGTAAATCGAAATGATTAACAAGGCGTTTCATTGAATGGGGGAAGGTTCTGGTTGAGGCGCTTCAAGCCCCCATCTTAGGATCAGCAATTAGATTTGCAACATCCCGGGAAAGCGAGAGTGATGTGATTTTTGCCAGTTTGTGATAGGGTAATTAATGAAGGAGGCGTAAAATGGTTGGACTTGGAGCCTCTTTGATGATAACTCTCCTCTTTGTCAAAACTTGTTAGGCCACGCGCCCAAAAATGGCAGCTGTCCTTTGACCGCGTCACCGTCCTTACTGGGGAAGGAAGCATCCATCTAGATTAGGCAAAAGCGCAAAATTATGATTCACTCGGCATCAAAGATTGGCCCTCTGTGTGTGTGTGTGTGTGGGGCACCACTATTTGCTTCAGATTTTTGTATTTATTTGTAAGTTTTAGCCTTCAGTAATCTCAATTCTCAACAGTTAATTGGTACCACCTCTTGTATATAATATAAAACCATGTTTGATTTTTATTTTAATCTTAAATATAAGATCCCAATCTATTTTGTCTCTCATGTTTATATTTTTTTTTCCAAAGTAGCCCTTCTAATAATAAGAGTTCTAGTTAATATACTTGATTAGTAAGGATATTTAAGGAAAGACAATACCTATTTAGGACAAATAACTAACTCAACTTACTTTCTTAATCTCCTTAAATTAGTCAACTGGCTCTTATAATTAGAATCGAAGGTAATATTATTCTTTTTTTTTTAAATCACTTTTGAGTATCTCACCAAAATGCTTGTAATGTTTTCACCCGTCTTAAAATTAACAAAAAGTAGCATATTTATTCGTATTAATTGCATGAGTGAAAAGCTGATAAGACCTCAACCAATATATTGAATAGGAGAGAGCCAGAAAAGAACAATAAATAATGGATTAAGTGTGTTATAAAAAGAATTAAAAATCTTCTCGAAATTTGATTGGAGGAAGTATGTTAAAAGACCAACAAAAATGGATAAACCATTTTGTATCATATGATTATTTTTTTAAAAAAAATTTAAAAAATACTAATATGTAATACTACTTCGGTTATTTAATATAAAAGCAAATTAAAAATTCAATTTAATTTTAAATATAATATTTTAATTTATTTTATCTCTAATATCTATCTATTTTACTCTCAAATAATTTTTACAGTGATTGCTTTGTTAACGAGTTTTCATTAAGATACAGTTTTAATGCACATGATTGATAGGAGTATTATTAAAAAAATCTATTTATTACAAATAATTAATTTAACTAATTTTTTAATATTCACATTAAAAAAGATAATATTTAACTCTTATATTGAACACATGAGTTAATATATTAATTGATTGAGTGATGCGGCAGTGGAATTAGTGGGAATGAAAGCACAGCACAAGGGCATTGGTAGGCAGCAGTGCACTTGAGGCTGAAGCAACTTTTGATGATTGTGTGGAGGGTTGACCCATACCTCAACACATCACATGCCCAGATTTATGTTTCCCGGCATATCTCTCCCCACCTTTTCCTTATGCATAATTACCCAGGACGGTTTGTCGTCTATTCTATTCCGTGCATTTTCCAACCTATATATAATATCCTATCCTAATTATAAGATTTTATTTTTTTAATTATAAGATCATATTTATAAACTATAAATGAGATCTTATAATTAGAATTGGAGGTAATATATTCTTGCAAAAAAATCCCCTCCACCTTGACATGCTACTCCCTCTTCCGTCTTTATTATGAAAAACAACTATTAAAATCACAATGCTCAAAATATTAATTAAATTTAGTTAAAAACAACAAACATGTAATATATATTTTTAAATATATTATTATTCATAAAGAGATTAGATGAGCGATAATGAGTAAAAGTTTATTTAAAAAAGATAATAATAATACCATATATTTACTAGGGATAAAAGTAAAAAGGTTAATTTAAAATTTGAGATAAAAATTTATTTTTATATTGAAAGATACTACCTCCCGTCCTCTTTATAAAACTTTATTTACAGTCTATAAATAAGATTTTATAATTAGGATCGAAAATAGTATCATTACAAGAGAAATTATTTTTTATTAAAAAAAAAACAGGACGGTGGGACGTTGGAGCGTTGCAATTCATATCCGCGTTGTCAACAAGACCATGTCCGCCATGCACTGTACTGCTCTTGAATGAAATTTCATGCTTAAATTTAAGGAGGACATATGCTTACATATGTATGAGTATTTGAATTGCATAAACCAAAAAAACTGATTGTGGCCTCAATTTTATATTATTTAGATACACGCATATCATTTAAAAATTGAAAAGAAAAATCATTTTTGGGGCAGGCTTAGAGGATTTAAAAACCGTGAGCTAATATGAGTCAGCACAAATTCTTTATGGTGTAAATTTTGTACATTTAAAAGGACGTAAAATTTTTTAGAATATATATTATAGATATTTATTCGCGGCACACACAATACTGCAAGCCATACTATTCATACGCGATTAATATTATGCTAATTATCTAAAGTCCACAGAATACAAGAAAAATATATCTAGCTTGGTCATAAACTTACTTTTATCTAAAATATTACTCCTCTGATTGTAAATGTAAAACCTAATTTGAAAGTTCATATGGATCCTATATGTAAGATCTATTTTACATTTTTATCAATTTTTTTTCAAATTAACTATTTTGATATTCTCTTAACAATAATCAAGCAGGAGAGGAAGGAAAGGAACTAAAGAAAGTACTTAGGATGTTTAAAAAACAACATATTAACTAATGTAATTAACATCTTTAATCTATTCATATTAGTTAATTAAGTCTTACATTAAGTACTGGAGAAATATATTAATAATCTAAATTTGAATAATTTAACTTAACCCTTTAAATTTTGGCCAAAGAATTTAAATTAAACCTGCAAGCTTATAAGTGAGCCAGAGGTGAATGAACTATAATTTTTTGACAAATACAATAAGGGGTAATTTAAATTTTATCATAAGAAAATATTCGTTTTAAGGCTGAAAAAATATTTTTTAAAATTTAAGAAATTGTTGCAAAAAAATATTAGATAAAAATAATAGCGTCTTAGCAACAACCAACATATAATTCCTCTTCCTGGAACGCTTTTTCAGCCGCTACGGAAAAACGGGATAAGAAAACGAAAGGTAATGAATTATAGTAGTATTTGACAAACATTTTATATGTATGTGCTGTCACGCAATAACTTAACAAGGAAAAAAAAAACATTGGAAAAATCACAAAAAAACCATGAAATTAGAAAAATTACATGTAGGGATCAATTCAAGAAATTATTGTCAAAGCCCATATTATTATTATCAAAATCCATAATAATATTGTGATGGGTCTCAATTTGTAATTTTTTTAATTTCATGGTTTTTTTTTGTGATTTTCCCAAAAACATTATTCGAACAATAATACCCTCGGATATAATTTTATAATAATATAATATATGGCTAAGGATTACATACTTGTTGTCCCATGATAATAATTTTATCTGGCTGTGATTTAATGGGAGGCAAATCAATCAAACAAACAAACAAAAGCAAGTCTGCACGAAAAGACAAACGTTGTATAATTGAAAAAGGCATTCTCCTTAATGACAAGGGACTCCCCACCTCACCCAAACCATCCATATTATTATATGTATATTACCCAACTGACCATTTTATTTTAAAAATAATTTATTCTTAATTGCCATTAAATTTCTATGCTTGACTTAAATGTACGACCTGTTTAATTAGTATTATAAAATGTGTTTTTTTATTAATTAACATTGGTCGTTAAATGTTCAGTAATTTTTTTATTGGGATTAAATATTATTGTTGGCACCGAAATTAAATCCAAGGAATAAATTAAACTATTTATATATTCAAGTTATAAAATATCGGATGCTGACACTTTGATTTGCTTCCTTAATCCTTTTTAATAATCCATGAGCTGTGTTATGAGTCAGAAATTCTAAATAGGTACATCACCAAAGAGAAAAAAACATCCATATTGCTTATCCTGAGAAACAACTTACAGAAACTGAACAAGAAAAGAAAACACCCAGAATCAGTATTCCGTTAATTTCATAAATTATTAATATAACTATTGACGGAACCAAACCATCCAATATTAATTAATTTTTCTTGTGAAATATTCTTACAAGGGCTTTTTCAAGCATAAGAATCATAATCCAACAACCTACAGCTAGCCCATTATTTGGTATAAATATAAAGAAGGAAGCTTTTATAAAATATATATATATATAAAAAAAAGCAAAGTGTACCAATTTTATTGATGGCAAAAAAAGAGTGTACCATATTTATTATGCTAAAGTCATCACTATTCAGCGTCCTTGTCACTTTTTTTTTAATAAAAAAGCTTAAAAAATAATTATCATTTATAAAATTACCTTCTATTTCATCATATTCTACTTAAAAAACGTGTCTATTATATATTTACCTAGATTACTGCAGCGGTCATTATTTTTATAGCATTTTTAACAATAAAGACAAGAAGATTGTTTCAAAAAATTTCATCATATATTTTTCCCCAGGATACGCTCTAATTCTCTATTTTTTTCGTTAAGAAAAAAAAGAATAATCCGTGTTGGATAAAAAGGAGAGAGTTTTGAAATATTAACCCACTGATATTGAAAAAGATGCTGGATTTGTTTAATATCTGCATTAATATATAGGTAGTCGCACCACAATTTCAGTAAAAAAATATTATCCACTCTTTTATGTTAAATAAATTATATAAAAAAATAAAAATTTCTTGCTTTATCTTCCTTTCATTTATTTCATTATTCCGACTAAACAAGCCAAAGTAACAGAACAAGACACTCAACTAAAACGTATGAAAATTTGTTTCTCCGACCACGACCACCCAAAACTAAAATAAAACATAAAAGAAAGGTGTATTTTCCGACCAAACCAATTATCCATTACCACGTGTCGTAATCCCAGTAAGTGATGAGTCAGTATTTCTAACCACCACGAATTCCAGATTAGCAACCTTCTCTGTGGGGCTCATCCCCTACTGTTCGTAGTACTCTAAAAAATTACGACTCCGTCCCTCCAACCAATCACTGTCCTCCACGTGTCCATCCCACTTCCCGTTTCTTCCTCGCGCCGCTGTTATTTATCCCCACTTCTGTTCAATCATTTTTCCTCCTGCTTCTGTTCTGCTTCCCCTCTCCTCTCTCTCTCTCTCTCTCATTTTCTTTTTTTTCCGAAGCAACCATGGAAGTTCCTGTAATTCACAGAATCAACGATTTTCAGATTGCTTCTTCATCTCTCACAGGCATTCAATCTGTTTCTGCAGCCTACAATTTTTGCAAATGGAGTGCTGTGATTCTCGCTCTCGTCGCTGCCTTCGGGAGTATCGTCAACAGAATCAAGATTCTCATCCTCAGATTGCGCCAAGAGACTCATTCTCTTGCCTCCAGTAATCTTCTTAGCGATCTCGACCTCGATGATTATAGCAGCAGCTCCGACGGAGAGGACGGTAGCTACTCGTCAACGTCAACTGTACCATCGGAGTACGAAGACGACGAAGATGAGCAAGTTGAGTTCTCGGGATCTTTCCAATGGCGGCGAGTCGATGAAGATTTCCTGGTCAGAGGCTCCGGTCATCAGCTCGATGACCAGTTGCAGAGTGGTAAAGTGAGGCACCGACGACGTCTTAGCATCGGAGATATTTTTTCACTGTCGGAAATCGCCAACAACAAGAGCGTGGTGAAGCTATGGGACAGCATAGGATTTGGGCTGGGATTAGACTTCGACGATTATGAATCCTCTTGCTCCGCTTCCGCCGTCCCTGGAGCCTTGGTGTGCGACGAAAAAACATCTGTCCCAGCGCAGTCTTGCTTGTCTCCCGCTGTAGTAGTTTCGGCCGGGGAAAGCGCGTCGGGAAATTTGGCCGTGACGATTTGGGACACGCGCCTTCGGCGCCGGACTCCGGCTGTGATCGCGGAGTGGGAGCCTAATGAGGGAAAGGTCGTGGGCGTAGGTTCCGGCGGGGTGGAGAAGGTGTTCGTCAAAGATGACGTCCGTTGTGGCGTCATGGTAGGCGACATGAGAAAAGTTACGTCGCCTTTAGGCAGTGTGACGGAATCTGACTTGGATACATGGTGGGATAAGGACGCTGTCATTGTTTCCGGCAAGTCCGACGAGTCATTTTTGCGGCGGAAGTAAAATGGCCGTAAACTGAGTCTCTCTGCATTTTATATTTAATGGAAGTTGATAAATATTTTCAATAATTTTTATTTGCATGGTTTAATGGTATTAAACACAATTCTATATTTTAAAAAAAAAATCGATGAGATAACTTGAACTCGTTTTTTTAATATTCGCACAGTAAAAATAAATTCCTAATAATTGATGTGATAATTTTTTTTCCCCTTCAAATATGAAAAACCAGGCAGAGCCCAAACTCAACAGAAAAACTGGTGTTGGTCACATCGAATGAATTATTTTTACTAACAGGTTGGGTATAGCCAAAAAAAAACTAATCCTTCAATGTGATTTAATACCTGGTAATACCTCAAATAGAATTATTTCTAATAAGAAGATACCTATACTTAAAAAAAAAAGAATGAATTATTTTTCCACTCGTATCAAGTAATAGGGGCATGCTCGGTTCGAAACAGTTGAAAGAGCACGCGTACTAGAAATTGTGGACATCGCTGATAGTCTTTTCGTCTAATGACACAAGTTCCCCTGTAAATGACTCGAAAGCATATTGTATTGAGTTTTGATCCTGTGATTTACATTCTTCTAGGAGAATTGCAATGACATTCCGACATTCCCAACAAAAAATAATAATAATAATAACTATCAGTAAATCTAAATAACAAATAACTTCTTGTTATTTATTACCCTGAAACTTATTATTATAAGCTATTTTGTTGTTATTAAGATTTTTTTGGTAATCATATTCCTTACTTAAAATTTCATAGCAATTCTCCCTTTTTATTTATTAGATATTTGTATTTTTCTATTGGACGTAATACTCTTTGACAGAGATAAACCGGACATCATTAGATGGTTTGAATAATTTGAGAGTTTTTGGTCTTTGAGTACGGGCCTAAATGTGTGCATTAAACTAACACGTAAGCGGGCTACCTTAAATGGACCATGTCAAAACGGGTTATTTTGAACTCATCAGCCCACGCTTTTTTGGGTTTTCCAAACATGACTTTCCTCAGTTCCAATGAAGGCATGATAATATGATACGCCTCGTGGCCGGCAAGGTGGGGGTGAGGACCGAGGATTCTATTCAACAACGCCAAAATCTAGGTAACGCAAAAGCAAAAATATGCAATTCAATCCTTTTCTTTTTTTAATACATATTTTTCAAAAAAAAATTATGAGCATAAATTGATTATATTTTTTTGATAAATAAATTTTATTGACATGTCTGTTAGAATTAGTTGATTTTATAATTATTATGAATTCTTTTTAATATAAATTATTTATTTCTCTGCAAAATTGAGCACTCAATAAAGCCTAAGTTAAAATTAATCATCTGAAAATAATATTCAGTGACCTTAAATTTAAATTTTAGACATTCAATTTGAATCTGTACCTTAGTTTAGTGTATACTCAAAAGTTTTATATTTATACATAGAGAGAATTACAATGAGATTTCAAAAAACTAAAATAATCATCAATAAGTTTTAATAATAAGTGAACAGTCGTAATTTATTATTTTTAAACTTGTCATTACATGTCACTCATATTGTTAATAGGACTTTTTAATAATTATGTTTCTTATTTAGGACTCCATAACAATTCTTTTTTCATACATGGACTACACCATGTGCTTAAAACAGAGAAAAGAACGTGTGAAAGGAAATCAGGAAGAGAATTAAAGAAAACTAACCCCTCAGCGGCACATAACACCTTCTTGGCCACCAGATCTGCACACACTTTACTGTTTTGGTTATAAATAAATAAATATAATATTTTAATCTGTTTTGTCTTCCTCGTTTCGCTTTTTTTTTTTCGCATTATTTGTCCCGCGCTCATTTAAATTTAATGCTCCCTCTCTCAGCTTGGAGGTCCTCATTTTATCCAATTTATAATGTATTTTTAACGTGCTTCACCAGCAGTAATCTTATTAACTCATTTTTAAAATACTACTTCCAATCCTTAATATAAGACTTCGTTTGAATTTTATTTTGGTCCTAATTATAAGACTCCAATTTATTTTATCTCTCATATTTATATATATTTTTTAAGATAATCCTTCTAATAATGGTAATTATAACCAATACACTTGATTAGCAAAGATATTTTAGAAAAGACATAATGTATTTATTACAAATAACTAACTTAACTTATTTCCTCAATCTCCTCAAATTAGTCAACTAGCTCTTATAATTAGAACTGGAGGTAGTAACTTCTTAACTTTAGTCTTATTACTTAATATATATTTTGTGCTTTAATGGCTTATTCTTATGAATAATAAATTAAGGATACAATTAGATGTTCATATGAAAAAATTTAGTCAAGTAACTTATAAATAGAAAAAAAAAAAACTCTTTCTCTCCCTTATATAAAATGAAGAAAGAGGAACATTTTAGAAGAAGTGGTGCATATTTGTTACACAATAATAAAACATGAATAATTTAACAAATTTTCTAAATCTCTTTATACGACAGAAGAGAACAATATTTATTTTTAAATTAAATAAAATACGATGAACATTGGCTTCAGAGTCAAAGGGGACAGCATGGCCGTGGAAGGATCGATGCGGTCTCAAGTCAAACACGACCTTATGGGAGTTTGCCCCACCCTGCCGCTTAGCCTTTGGTCCACCGACAATAAAAACATCATTGTCTCTTCTTACAATCTTTTTTTTACTTTTTATTTAATTTAACAAAAAATAAATATAGAAGAGAAACTATTCCAAATGTACAAAACACACAAAATATATTGGACACAACTTAATTAAATAACTTATAATTCATAGGTGTTTGCGTAGAAGTTGTATGTTTAGCATTGGTCTATATCGCAATAATACTTTCACTTGACATTAATTTAATGAAGATAATCATTGAATTGTATGCCACTAGATTGATTTTTTTGTTTGCACCATACGATATTACTAGGAAATTCTCCGTCAAACTTCAATATAATATCAAATAGTACATGTTATCGATCAGTATTAGTTGGCCTGAGTGGAATTATTGTATTATAAAATATTCCTCCGGTCCTAAATATAAGATCCATTTTATAATATAATTTATACTATAAAATATGTATTATATTTAGGACTGGAGAAATAATTTCTTACTTAAAATTTTCATATGAAAGGAAGTTTGAGTTCAATCTTTTGAGTTGTAAGCTCCAATTTCTATGATGATATTTGAGAGAGAATGTTTGACTTCGTTAACCATATAATATCTATATTTATATGCTTCGATACTATATATATATATATATATATATATATATATATATTGGCTGCTTCGTTTAAAAGGCTGCAATTGGATGCTTCTGTCTTGCTTCCTCCTGTTAATTAGATCTTAAACCTGCAAATATTTACACATTTAACGTTCTCTCCAGTTTTTTTTTTGTCGTTATCATGCGCTGTTTGTAGTATATATCAATTGAAGCGGATTTAGATCTTATTCCCCATGGAAGCAATACTTATATAAGTTTAAGGGAAATATATATATATATAGAGAGAGAGAGAGAGAGAGTGTGTGTCGGAATTAGGGTTCAAATCAGTCGAAGTTTTTGGTTATTCTTGGAACATTTTTTCCACAAAAAAAAAATCAATAATAAAAATTTTAAAATAAATTCTGCTTATCAAATATGTATAAAATAAAGTCTTTTAATTTTTGAAAATTTCTCCTTGGAGTCTTTTTATTTAGATTATATTATAAAGTTTTGCTTTTATTCTATATGCATTTTGTTTGTTCTAAATTTTTTTTTTGGAACCACATCCATATTATGTAGGCTAAAATATTGGCATCTGCAGATTCCGCTCAACTACCTAGAGGATATTGTTCATCTAAATTTTAAGTATTTGAACGGCTTCCAAGTCATTCAGATGCAACATTAAAATTCTCCTCAAGCTTTTGAACCATTACAATATAATTAAAAAAAACCAATGAAACAAAACAATAAAGGTGATAGAATATGCTATTATGTGTATTATAAGGCACAATTAATATGCACAAGTCATACCAATTTACATAGTTGCCATGGGTGCATGTATTTTCCCCCTAAGTACCATCTCTAGTTTATAAAATGAAAATTTTTAAGACCATTTAACCTAAAATTTTAAAAACCTGAGTCTAGCGAGTATATTAAATGAACGATCGTTAGCATTCGAATCTCGAAGGAAACAAGCAACTAACTGGAAGAAACCCTAACTTAATTTATAAGTAAACCAAAATTACTCTAATGTTTGATATTACTAATATAAACATTTGTCTCCAGACGTTTTGTTTATTGGTGGACAACTAAGCCATAACAAGAAGAAAGAAGCATTAATAGCTTCCAAAACGATATGTATTTAAAATATATCAAATAGTACTAAAAATTTGAAGTTAAGACTAGCAAGAATCGAGTTGACTTATGCACAATGGTCAGCGATCATGTTCATACCCATCATTTGTGTGCATCTTACTAGATAGTTATGCATTAATTAATTCAAAGATATATATATTTTATCACTGGATAGCTCTAGAAATATAAACGCCACATATTTGATGGTGATATATATAATGATATGTTAATTTTATAATAAGAGAGGAAGATGATGGTGAGGACGATTGCTTCTGGTAATAAGAGGTATTTCAAAGTCAAGAAGATGAAGCAAACAAGGCATATATACATCAAAATGAATCAACAAAAGGGGAAAAAAAATCCAAACCAATCAATTTACCCTTCGTATGTGTATATATATCCACAAAGAATAAATTAAATTTTATTGATTATTCATAGTATTGAGGATACCTAGCTGCTATTCTATCTTCTAGGCATCTTGTTGTTATTTTGAAGCTAACAAAACTTTATTCAACGTAGACAAACCAACCAATGAAAGCAAGAAAAACAACACAATTTGATCTGATCTACACTATGAAAGAAGAATCAGATTGATGACCTTCATATGATCAAATGATCTCCAAAGTTAAAATTCAATATTCTGGAAGCTCTTTGATGAATTCCAACCCAGAAGGCGAAATCAAACTACCTAGCATACTGAAGGGTGAATCTGCAGAAGACTGCTTGTTAAACACCGATCTATTGTAAGGACTGATCCAGAAATCTGATGAATTGGGCGTAAAAAGAGGTATATCTGCATAATTCAGATCCGCAGCTCCAGTAGTGCATCGATTTGGCGCCGATGATGGTGAACTCGTAATCTCGTTATTAACATCACAAGAACCAATCTTCTCTTGTTTAATACTGCTAATGATGGATTCATCGGACAAAGACGACTCTATATTCTCGGTGCCGGCGCCGGAAACTGTAGCCTCTTTCTTGTCTTTACGACGGGGCTTGCCGGTGAGCTTCTGAACGAGAGCCATGAAATCTTCAGGCTTGGTGTGGATGGTCTTGGGCGAGTGGGTGTAGATGATGACAGGCTTCCTTATCTGTTGTTGTTGTTGTTGATGATGATGAAGATGACCGTGATGGGCTTTGGGATTGTTCATGGCGGCCGCCGCCGTCATCTGTGTGAAGGATGATGAGGAAGGTTTTCTGATGGAATGAGAGGTTCTGTTGATCATCAATGGAGAAGGACGTGGGCCTTTGATGATATCTCTGGATTGGCGTTGGTGTTGGAAGCCATGGAAGTTTGAAGAAGGTGGGGTCATGTTGGAGGGTGAGAGGTTGAATATTGGAAATTGGAACTACTGTTTGGTGCAGAAACAGGCATGGGAGTGATATTTATAAAGGAAAATTTTTGTAATCGTGGCCAGCGATTCTGACTGTTGAAAGTGGACTTTTTTTTTTTGGAGGAAAATGACATGGAAAGATTGTCCTTGGATTATGTGATGTAATATTAATGTACTGCTCTAATTTTATTTATAAATTACTTTTAATATATTTTATACAGAGAAAAAAAATCTTAAACTTCATTAACTCTCATTTAAAATTTAATAACTTTTTGACTTTATCTCTATTTAAAGTAGATATAAAGTCAAAAATAGGGATAAAGTCAAAAAGCTATTGAATTTTAAATGAGAGTTAATGAAATTTAAAGTTTTTCTTTGTCTATGTGAAATATATTGGAAGTAACTTATAAATAGGATCAGATGATATACATCATACTTTATGTAAACAATAATAAATGAAATGTAAAATTATACATTCATACAAAAAATTTCTCTCATTATCTTATAAATAGGATAAAAAATGTCTTCTCCCTGCCTTATCAATAGGACTAGAGGAGTAACTCTTTTGGTGGCTAATTTAAATTGTGTATAAAAATAACCTTCATCTGTTGGTAGTAATTAATTAAGATGTCCTCATGGTTTCAAAAATAAAGAAAAACAATTGTATCTGGAATTTTTTAATTTTAAATAAACATTAAATATTTTTCATTTTTTATTTAAACTTTTATTATGATTTCTTAAAATTATAATCTTTCATTATTAGTTAAGGAGTATCTTTTTAGTTAGTATCTTATTTTGCTAACGACATATGATATGCTACAGTAATGCTAGTTACATCAAATCTTATAAATTTTACATTTTTTTCAGGCCAGTAAAAATGTTAAAAAAAAATTTCTAATTCCCACCGTTCCACGTCTCACATTTTGTTAATAAAATAATTGATTACAAAAAGAACAATAAAAACTTTTATCTCACTAAATGACTAGTTGATGAAAAATAATTATTCATAAAAAAATATTTTTAAAAGTATTGTTAACTGTTGGATATACAATTCAAGCAAATAAGTACATAAAAAGCGTAGCCTTGTAATCTAAAATTAAAATTTGTTTGTTATTTGAGCCTGGTTTGACCTGCGCCTCCATTGCTGTAGCACTTCAATTCTGGGCACTCATTGTCGGCTTTAATTTACAGCGAGGGAGGGTGGCTAAATAATTTAATTAATTACCCCACTTGTAGTTTTTGTATGTTTGCGTGGAATATTAAGCATTTTGGTAATTACGTGTTTATATACGTAATTATATAAGAAACCCACAGCTCAAAATTAAATTGTTTGGTAATTAATGGCCGGATATGACATTATTATTTAATTAATTGGGGACACATCAACTGTGTGAAACGTTACGGTACATGTCTGTCATGTGGCCAGGTTGTTGGAGACCAGAGTAAAAGTCACATGCTAATATTGAAAACACTGTTTCATTGAAAAAAGTTGAGGTTGTCCTTGAAATAACTATTTGCAAGTTGCAACTAACATAAAATACCCTTTTATTTGCCACCTTGTATGGTATAATTTGCCACTGCTTTTTTCACGGTTTGTAATTGGCGATTGTTTTTTAGGGCTTAATTTTTATTTCCAAAAATTAAAATAGTGATTTGAGAGAATATAATTAATATAATGTTCACATAATTACGTGATAAAATAATAGAGAGGAAAGGACGCTTCAGAAAATTAACTTAATAATTTTAGGTTTGGGTCCTTAAATAATTACATGCAAGTTGCAACAAACGCCCTTTTTGTATGGTAGTATAATTGATATGCAACTACATTTTCGAAGTTAATAATATGCTCGTATTATAATAAGTTAATATCAATAATAGTATAATGAAATAATGATAAAAGAAAATAACAAATTTTCCTCAGTGAACAAGTTATACAAAAATCTTTTCTATATATATATATATATATATCACGAGTCAATCTTTTTTATACAGTACTATGTTTTAATGTAATAACAACTGTATAAACATTTTTAATGGTATGAAAATATAATATTCGGCATTTAAATTATGATTTATGATTAAACTTTATTAGCAATAATTTACCACTGGGGTCATAAATATAAGTTAATTATAAGGGGAAGTTTTGATCTTAATTATAAGAGGTCCTTTGTAATATATTTTCAATTTTACTCTTATTTAATTCTCATAGTATATTTTTTGATATGTAAGAATGTGTTGTAAATATCAGGATGTTATTAATCCAGAACCTTTTTGTATATAAAAATATGAGGATCTTAAACTGAAATATAACACCATCATTAAAAAAATGGTACCGATGGAAGCAAGGGCGGTTGGTTGGAATCGGAAGTTGATGGTTGACCTGGAGAATGTGAAACGATATTCTGGATTCTCAACTTTCTATAAATTTTCTTAAAGTTTTCCTAATGAACACAGCAACACCAAAAGTCAATAATTAACAAAGTTTTACCACGAGAAAATTAAAAAAGAAGAAGAAGAAGAAGAAGAAGAAGCTGAAATCAGAAAAGGAATAAGCACACAAATAGACCGTACAGTATTTATTCAAAAAAGAAAAGAAAAGTAGCTAGAGTGGATCAAGTTTTTTGGTTGAACTAAGTCGTCTGATTGGGTTTTATGTTCCTCTATGAAACAATGCCATGATATTTATTTAAAAATAATAACTCCGATCTTAAATATAAAAATTAGGACATAAATTTATTTTATCATAAATATAGTATTTCAATCAATCACCTTCTCTATTAAATCTATAATTTTTGTCATAAACTATTTTTATTAATTATACATATTAGAGAGTTTTTCATCGAGGGAAGTAGTTTTTAATGCAGATAATTAAAAGTAGTATGTCAAAGAAACCAACACATATGTTTTAGAAACAGCTAACTTAACATATAACCGAATGGCATATTATTTCTTCTCTTTTACGATGAACGTGCCTATTTAGATTAACAGTGAACAACTGTGATTTTAGATCATCGTGAATTTTATAAGTGACATTGATTATAAATGATGTTAGTTAATCATGATTTCTATTTGGATGTCTTTTTCATAAGTGACTCTAAGAATTATGATTTTATGTTTGGTTTTCATTTATTAAAATCATCTATGAATGTATAATTACCAACAAGGCATAAATTTAATAAGTACTATTAAATACTACCTCTGGTCCTAATTATAAAAACTAGTTGACTAATTTGAAGAAATTAAAAAAAGAAGATAAATTAGTTATTTCCAATAAATATGTATTGTATTTCCTAAAATATCTTTACTAATCAAGTGTATTGGCTAAAACTACTATTGTTAATTAGAAAGACTATATTGGGAAAAAATACATAAATATGATAGACAAGGTGGATTGGAATTTTATATTTAGGACCAAAATAAAAATTAAATAAGATCTCATATTAAGGACTGGAGATAATATAATTATTTGGGGAGAGATTTTGGAAAAAGTGTGGGAGGATAGATTATATTGCAGAAAATTCAATTGATAAAAATTGGTTGGGATTCTTCAAACACATAAACTACTCGTTGGTGTTTGTCTTAAAAGTACAGTAGAAAAGTAAAATTATTATTTATCAAAATTTTATAAAAATTACCCAAACAGGATAAATATACTTTATAATCACTTATTTAGATTCAAACGGGCTTATTTGATATTCTATTACCCCAAATAGGCATGAAATCCTCTCTCATCCTAAAATCACATGATATTTTGACTAAATATGCATCAATTGGGTAGGACGATATATATAATTAAGGACGGCAATTAAACCTGCTGAACCGTTGATATTTCCCAAATGTAATACTAATTTGACATTAATCAATGTTGCCGCGTGAAAAAACCAAAATAAAATTGCATTATAATAATTTTATGATGTCACCCGCATGACATTTGACTGGAGCTCTTGCTTCCACTCCCGTCCCATGGCGTGGAGTTTGAATATGCGTTGAAAGGGGCGAAACCGTGGAGGCGTGTGCATACTGCTTTGAATCCACCAAAATCAAATATAGTATCAACGATTCATAGAACCACTCTCGTTTAGGTACTATTATTTATAAAGTAAAGAAGATTTTGACTTTTTTTCTATTTATAAGTGACATTATTAACTTTTAATATAAATATATTATTTTTTTCTTTCAAATATTGTGTGCATTGTTATTAAATAAGACTAAAATTAAAAAGTTGTTAAATTTTTAAGTAAAGTTAATGAGAATTAAAAAAAAATTTATTTCGATAAAATATATTACGAGTGACTTATAAATAGGATCAAAGAAATATTTGTTCTTCAAAAGCTCAACATATAATTAAAACAATAAAACAGTGATGTATCAGACATGTAAACGTTTAATTAATATTCCTATGAATTCCTTTGAGAAAATAGACATATTTCATACCAACCAGGTGTTTTGCGTTGTGTTTTTAGGATTGAAATTTTCTAAATATATCAAAATAAAATTGCATTATAGCCTAGCTCATGCCATAAAATGTTCCCTTATAATTAAAAGATTGCTGAGTTTGATGCTACTTGTATCTTTAGCCATTAGTGCGTGGCCCATTATTTGTGAACTATATATAACAGGTGAAGCCGTGCACCGTTTTGAATCCTAAGATAAATCAAATATTACTTTTAGCAAATTATGGAACAAGTATTCGATTAGGTACTATAGTTTATTTCTTGTTGCAAAAGATATTCAACGGACAAATAAAAAACTAAAACTAACAATTAAGAGACACGGGAACATTGAACACGCACATATATATAGTCCTTGCATTGTGAAACCCTTTGACCAACATGCATGTATCCCTTGGCGACTGGGTGTTTTGTGTTGATTTAATTAATTGCAAGTTAAAATCTAATTAAGCACGTAACTACGTATCGTATGAAGTTTTGTGCTTGGTGTCCACCATAATAAATTAAAGACAGCTTAACAATAATAAT